AGACTCTGGTTTGCCTCTTTTTTCATAGGTGCAGCAGGCAGTGGCTGAATTTGAAGCTAAGCTAGCTGAGCCTCTCATATCATGCTCTTCAGCAGCAGCAACATATGCAGCCCTTCAGGATTGCACGGTGAGCATGTGGCCAGCTCTTCCTGTCACTGTTCCAGGGAAATGGTATCACACTGACCTCCTTACAGAAATGCCAGTAACCTCCAGCCCAGGGGCTGCCTGATGCCACACAGCCCGGGGTGGAGGCAGGAGAAGGCAAAGGCTTCCTGTCTGGGTGGGGAGCCCCAGGGAAGACCTAAGTACTTCTTCAGCTATTTCTTGTCACCATTTCAGACAGGCTTGTAGAGTTTCTTCCCCAGTCTGGAGAAAGGAAAACCTAAAAGTATGACTTAATCCTTCAGGTTATTGTTTTTAACTTCATGAATCCAAAACATTATGAAAAATAGAAGATAAGAAAAAAGTCTGACAGTTTTCCTCTAAGATTTTCACCAAACTTGGATCTTGATACAGCTAATTCTGATTAAAAAAAAAATATCCTTGGAAGTAGTTTTTTCTTGAACAATGCAGAGACTAGACAGAGTTTAAACTGACAAACTTTTATCTGTGATGCCAGAAATCCATGGGTGTTTGGACATATGGTTCAGTCCATTACAAAAGGAAAACAAATATTGGATTGGTATTCAAACTACCAATAATCCCAAATCTCAGGGAATTAGGTGTAGCATTTTTGTCTGTAAGTTCTGATGTGTTCTTCCCATAATAATCATTGCCTTTCTTGCTAAGAAAATATTATTTTATAAAATTAATCATTTTGTTCTTGCAGTAAAATGCATATAATTTATTCTGAAGTTAGTGATAACTAATTGCAAAGGCTGTATGCAAGAGAGGGCTGACTTGTCTGCTTCAAAAATGTGATACTTTTTGAGGAAAAATGTTTTGCATGTGGAGAATTTATTCAGACAGCATTTGTAATCACCATTCTTACTGGCTTTTAAACCTTATGAATATGCTGAGTGTGCTATTGTAAAGTCTTGTTCTGCCTACAGGATCATGATTAAATACCTTAATGCAAAATTATCATCAGCCTATTCCTGTATAATTCACATTTCCTCCTAGATATTATTTCTTGTAATTATAACCATTACTACTGTTACTACTGTACACCTGTGAGTTGAAACTTTAGTGGACTTAAATCTGTTTCATTTTGTGCTTTTCTAACCCATTGTATTAAATTTCAATCATTTTCCTAGATACAAGTTTTTCAGCTTTCTAGAAATGGTAACACCAAAAAGTCTAGTCGAATCAGATACCATTTCTATGGGAAAGACCTTTAGCTAATGCTGACAAAAGTTCCCTACTTCTGCCATGGCATGACATGGGCTGCAAGTCTGGTACTCCTCACATGTTGGAGTGACGTCTTATGTTTACTGTATATAAATTAGAGCAACTCAGACAGAAGTTTGGGAATTTGGATCTTTTTTCCTGAATTTGGAGTCTGGTTCTACATGGAGGATGCTGTGTCACATGTCCATTCTTCTTGCTGAGTTTTTTTTCTTTATCACTGTTCTTGGGAAAACCTTTCTCCACTACAGTCTAGTTCATTGATGTGCTTGGAATATGAGGATCTAGGCTAGGTCTAAGCAATATGTAAGCTATGCAGTGATTTTGTGTTCTGATGGATGTAGCATGGCTTCAAATTTATGAGTAGAAGTACAGAATTTTCCCCACTGTTGTTACTGTAACTGTTGTTTTTGTATGTGACTTCTGTTTCTTTTACGTGCTCATTAGGACCTTTGTCATACTGTGGAAAAACTGAGCAACACTCTGGCCTCTCTCTCAGCCAGTGTCCGAAAGGTGACCAACAAAGAAAAAGCTGCTCAGGAGGTCACAGCTTTACACCAGAAACATGAAAAAGTACTAGCAAATGCTAAAGAGAAACAGACCTTATTAGAGACTCTTCTGGCTCAGTGGCAGAAGTGAGTAAATTCTCGCATCAGTTATGATGGACACAGAGACCTTCCTGTGGTCTGTATGTGAGACTGAGAAGGCAACTTGGTAACTCTACATTGTGATTCTTTTAGGCAGGAGAAGGAACTGTCTGCCTTCCTAACCTGGTTGGAGGGATGTGAAGCTGCAGCCAGGACTTCAGAGCAGTATGTTTCTGCTGATAGAGTTAAGCTGGAAGGGGAACTGCAGTCACTGCAGGTATGCTTCAGCTGAGACTTTCCCCTTACATTTCCTGGTATATTTCTGTGTCTTTTAAAGGAAGGACTTGCTCAATTACAGTCTTACAAGTCACTTGATTCTGAGTTTTGGAAATGTCCTAGGACATATTACATTATTGCTGTTGCTATATCTCAAAGACAAGAAAATGACAGGAAGAATGTCACTTTTAACTATCATATGTCAGCTCAAGAAAAAAATGCCCTAGTATGTGCTATTATCTGACAAGGAAGGACATGGTTCTGCTTGCCAGAGGATCCTTTTTCTAGAGAAATTCCTTTGTTAGACAATACTACTTTGCTTTTTTTTGCATGTAAGAAAAGTTGCTCAAATGACAAAATGCTCAAAGGTTTTGATATCAGAATGATAGTCTGATTTTTTAAAACACAAGACTCTCATCCTGTTCTAAAGTCTGCATGAATGTTTGCCATTTTTTTAAAGATTAATATGAAGCAGTTGGCCAAATGTGACATATTTTACACCTTTCTTTAAGCCAAGTAGTCATAATTGCAGTTTTGAATGTTACTGAAGAAAAGGAAAATTATTTTGGCAATTAGTTTTCTCTTTGTCTGAGACAATTTGTGGCATTTACTCACAATTCTATTGCTGCACACAAAATATGCTGCAAAATGTGGTCTTGATTTTAGCCACTTTCATCATGCAGTAGAGCTGTACAGAAAGGTGACGCTTTGTCCTAAAGGAGAAAAAGACCCCAGCTTCAATGAATCCCTACTGAATTACTGTTGCAGATTTAGATGCCTGAGGGGTGTTGAGTACCTTGTCCTAATAGACCTCAGTTCCTCCAGGGATTTGACTGTGCTCACTCAGTTGTCTCAAAGTGCTGTACTGGAAATTCCTGGCTATCTTTTCATTATTTTTGTTATTTTGTACGATGTGATGCTATACTTAATCTAAAGGTTTTGCATTCCCCTGTTTTCCCAGGATTTGCAAGTAGATATTGAGTCCCATGCTTCAGTCTATGAGAGCCTATTACAGTTAAATGAGTCGCTGTTTCCAACAGCTTCCAAGCAGTGTGTGAAAACAACAAAAGAAAAATTTGAAGAGCTGGATAAGAGGTGGAAAGCTTTGCCACAAACTATTGATAAAAGGTTTGTGCTTCAGAATGGTTTTTGCATATTAAAGTACCCAATATCCAGATGACAAATCCCAATCCCAAAACATATTTTTTACAATATTACCATTAAGAAAACAAAGGTGTAATATTGATACTGATTCCTGAGCTTCCAGGAATGAGGTGTGGAGAATCTCACACATTTATGATGCTGTCTTTTTGCCATAAACTCTCCCTATTTTTTTGATAGAAGTATTCTGATTGAAGGAGAGGGGTGCAGGAAATGAAGGTAATGTTGTGTTATATGGTTTATCTTGTGTAAAGCCACACTATTTTATTTTTAAAGCCACTTTGAAATTTTCATTTGCTGTAAACACTCTAAGTGCTCAGTTGTTAGGCTGTTGGCTCATGTTATGCTCAGGAAAACTGCCCCCCTTTTTTGAAATTGTATGTTATCATACATTTAGATTTCAGTTCTTTCCATGATGAACACATGTGTTTTACTATTTGAAATGTAGCTTAAATAATAGATCTTGGTCAATGACATCATCTTCTAGGTGCTTTATCAATATAATGATCTTCTACATGTTGATTGTTTGGGGCACCTCTAATAGTTGAGATAAACAAAACAGTGGAAACAGGAAAGAGCCAAAGGTGCTTTCAGATGTTATGTTATTCCTCAGTTAAGAAATCAAGAGGGTAGTCATCACATTTGCAACATAAATTAACATTTCCTTGTTTCCTTGCGTCTGGCATTGATTTTAATGCTAACCAGTCAGCTGTGGTTTTGATTATGGGAAGTGATTAATTTACATCAAGTGCTTTTATATTTACATCTGACATCCTATAGGATCAACTTCCTTCAATCTCTTGTTGCTGAGCATGGGCAGATTGATGAGCTCCTGCTTAGGTTTTCAGACTGGATTAAGCAATTTCTTGCAGAACTACAAGCTACTTCAGAGATAAACACAGCTGATCAACAACTAGCTGCATCTCACAATAAGGTAAACTTCTAGATGTAAATATTAAAGACAGATAAATTCTGCAGTGCATTCAGCTAAATACTCATCTAAAACTAGCAAGGAATTTATTTGCTTGAAAACCAATATACTGTTGCAGTCACATACAGATTTCTGTTATTTGACAAGTTTA